CAGATTCCAACTTTTCTAAGAATTTTTTTTCTTGCACTATGATAAAAGAATTAATTTAATGTAACATAACATTTTCTCAACTTGAAGCTCATTTTATGTGCACAAACAGATTTGTAACTAACCATTTTCCTCATAGATTTCCAACTTCATCCTTGTGATATTTGTCTTTTTCATATTATATTCTTGTATTACTATGCCATTTTCGAATATTTTCCCATGCAGTTAGAAACTGCAGCATTTTCCCACAAGACCCTCCGAACCTTTTCCAACTCTCCATCAAGCCGAAAAATGTGCGATCAAGCCTGAAACAATTTTTGCACTTTGCCATGTGGATGAGAAAAGGCCAATGCTGCTGATTCACAGATCCCGATCAAACATAACCAAGCTTTTAGGTCTTACCGAGGAGACAGAGGTGTACCCCTGAGCTAAATGAAAAAAAATCCGCGAGTGGGTGAATGTTTAAGTGGGTGGGCTGCGGCAATGGAGCGGTTTATTTGGCTATTGCGCGATTAACGGCGAGGTCGCAGCCAGAGGCCTGCAGCATGAAAGACAGACGCGGCAACACAACGCAGACATTGGACCACATGTCCATCCGTGTGTCTGTGTCACACTTTTTGGCAGCCGCAGCTTACAAGGAAACAAAGCACAACGCCTGTGAAGGCCTGTAGGGGCCGAGATGAAATACAGCTGCTACTGTTATATAGCTGAACATGTTGGGTTTGACTTAACCATGAACACTTGCGGAAGCATTTCTGGAAAAAATAAATAAAAAAAAAAAATCCAAATCTTAAAGCTGTCGGGCGATGTTGACGCAAAAGGTGGTGCTGTAACTGATCGGTCAGTTTAGCCAACCAGATACGTGAAGAAAACCACTTCTCGGGATTTATTTCCCTCAGTATTACGATTTAATATGTGATTATTTTATTCAAGGACCTCTTCCCATGTGTTTTATAACAAATTAATCTGTATTATAATCAACAAAAAAAAAAAAAATCCAAATCTTAAAGCTGTCGGGCGATGTTGACGCAAAAGGTGGTGCTGTAACTGATCGGTCAGTTTAGCCAACCAGATACGTGAAGAAAACCACTTCTCGGGATTTATTTCCCTCAGTATTACGATTTAATATGTGATTATTTTATTCAAGGACCTCTTCCCATGTGTTTTATAACAAATTAATCTGTATTATAATAAACAATTTTATTGTTTGGGGTATGATTTTGTGTGTGATCTTTTTCAGACTCAAGAAAAATCCAAAGAATAAAATTATATTTTTTGTTGAACAAAATAATCAGCAAAAATATAAGAATGGGCAGTCATTCTCTTTCTCTAGAAATGTTTTGTGAATTTTTTTTTTTTTTTTTTTTTTGCGTGTCCTCAAAAGTAACTTCAAATCCTCTATTATGAAATGAACCTGAAGTGATAAAACACTGCTAGAGGAGTGAAACGCTATTTGACAGCTTATCATTCTGTTACGTCTTTGTCACTTTGTAAGTAGCTCGCTCACACGGGCGCGTGCGCGCGCACACACACACACACACACACACACACACACACACACACACACACAGTTGGAAGCTTTAGGCACGCTGAGGGGAAAAGTGTGAGTTACACAAGCTTTGACAAGGCCTAATTACGCGTGTCTCTAATGAACTGTAATTACTGCCACGCACCAGAGCGCTGAGGTCCGTAAGCCAACGACTTGTAGTCATTAGGCTGCTGTGTCGCTACCGTTTCTCCGCCGACTGACTGGGGAGCTGTTTGCCGCTCCCCGTTGGGATCCCTCAGCATCCCGCTTGTCTAATTGTTTCCTCCTCTCTTTGCAGTTTGATGGTGACAACATGTACATGAATGAAAACAGCCATGAGTTCCTCCCACCCGGCCAGGTGAGTTCCAGCGCGTCTTGTCGACATCTCGTCGTCGGGTACGACTTTGAGCACAGTGGCATGTGATGAGCGAAAGATAGAAAGTTGAGGTGATAAATCTCGACACAGAGACTCAGGTGTTTGCATGTCAGGGGATTGCTACGTTTAGTCTGGGTTGGTAGTGGAAGTTACAGAGAGTCTTTGCCGCATCAGTATGTTTTTGCTGCAGCATTTTTTTATAAATCAGTGCAAACAATACAATTCCAATTTTTTTTTTCCATATCCGACCCGGGCTTCTTTTTTATGTGGATATAAATCGGATATGTATGGGATACATCTGCAATCTCAACCCTCATGTGTACACATCTGACCTATCCATCATCAAATTCCAATATGCGCGCCGCACAGGGCGGGGGAGTCCTTGAGAGGGAGACTCCTGACAATCGTCCATAATCTTGTTTTGAGTAACAGTGTTGTCTTTGTATTTTATTTTAATTTAATTCTACTTGAAACATGAACATGAAGCATAAAGTTGACATATTAGGTGACAATAGTAATTCAGCCACGCAGACAGTTAATTTATTACATGTGACATCATATTTACTAGATCGAGGGGTGTTGCTTCATTTCTACAAAATATTTGCACCTCCTCACGCCTCACTTCTCTGCCGCTATGAAATGAGGATGAGCCCCTGCACGTGGGAACATATTAACTTCCATAAACACTGTGCCACGCGACATCATTTCTTTGTGCACCTCATGCGACATGTTGCCTTCAAATGAGAAGTCGGGAACATATTAACTTCCATAAACACTGTGCCACGCGACATCATTTCTTGGTGCACCTCATGCGACAACATGTTGCCTTCAAATGAGAAGTTACATTCATTTTTGATGAATCATTTTGGATGAAACAAAAAATCCGAATTGGGCATCGCGTCTTGCAGTGTGAACATACTGACTGGGTAAACTGCAGTAACAGCCATCCCGTTACCTCTGCGTCCCGCGTCCAAGACGCATAATTTTTCTCGCCAGACGCACAGTTGCAAATAATGTGCGTTTTTGGGACGCAAGGAAATTTCTCAGTCAAAAAACCCCCAAAAACTACGGTAAATCTTTTTTTCCAGCAACGGTCACAGTTTGACAATCGCCGCCATTGTTGTTTTAATCTCGCGTTAAGTAATCTCGCGAGACGAGATTGGCTAGATCGGCCTTCACCTCGTGGAAAGCAGACGATTCCCAAGTTGTGTAATGCTAAAACAAGTGTTGCGAACAAGTGGTGCGAACGTTTATTGCGGAGATATGAACTCAAAGACTGAAATAAGATATGAGCTCAAATGATGAAATAAGAACCTATTTCTCAGCAAATCTTGTATTCCTGAATTATTTACATTTTTGCAGCATTTGTTTATAAGAAATAAACCTATTAATAATGTATATTGTTGTTGTTTGTGTTATTATCATATGCAATTGAACAAGTAGACCATTTCAGAATTCGAAATTTGGGACTTTCTAAATGCCTAATGGGACTCATACTTTTCTGATCAGCGAGTCCCTGGGACTCGCAGAGCTCAAACTGTAAAATTATCACTGCAGTAATATTTGTTTTTTTGTTGTTTTTTTTCACAGAGGATATAGAATATATACCTGTGAATGTAGTTATATTGTCTGCCCACATGTGTTGCTGCGAAAGCCTTCTCCTTTGGTCCTTGGGGGCTAAGTGGCGCCAGTGAGCACCATATTGGTGACTCCTGGTTAATAGTCTAGTAATATATGCCTCACTCCTGCGACTAATCCTTTACAACTTTCTTTAGTTTGGTAAATGTATAGCCATGGCCACTATCCGAAGAAACAGCATTTACGTTTTGTCACTTCTACTTAATCTTGTAGGTTTTTTTTCTTTTCATTTCTTTCATTATTTTTATTTCCAGAACTTCAAACAGCAGTCATTTTCATGGACAAAAATACAAAATACGACCGGCAACCGTGGAGCTAACTCTGACTTTCACATTCACTTCATTTGAATGGTTTAGTCGTCATGAAGCACGGCTTCGCTTTTGAGTGATTCGGGCCTTATTGCAATGGCAGTTAAAATGGAGGGAGGAGGGAGCGTTGGAGGAGGGTTTATGTGCATGGCAACCCTGCCTGGCTAGAATCTCTGCAGCAGCACAGCTGGTCCCGAACAACTGGGTGAGCATATGGTTGTGTTTGGACAGGAAGATTTGTCGGAGTTTGGGAAATAAGCCCATCTGACATCCACGGGGGAGTTGGGAATTTGTCTCTGTCAATTGTAATTACCCAAACCGCCTCACGGCCTCCACTAGTTTTACATTTCTGTTGAATTTACCGTACTGCTTTTTTTCGGGTGATTAATTTCTTAATGCACTGCTTTATTAAAAGCGTGGCTCAGAGCCCGGAATGAGACAAGAGAGTTGATGGTGCGGCTTTATTTTTTGTTTTCTTTCCGTATGATTTATAGAGTCAATTTGGAGATCTCTGGTAATAAATAGACGGATGTCAGAGAGTGATTTTTAACGTGATCTGACACATTCCCCGGGCTGTCAAGGAACTCTTTAGATCCACAGCTTTTATTATCCATTTGGAATTCAGCTTCTTACAGCACTTGCCACTGAGTGATTACAAGATGTGCTGATGTGCACTCTGCGTTTTTGCCGTCTTACCGGCGAACAGATAAAAGCCTTGCAAATGTGGCGTACGTGATTGACAGGGGCAGAAAGGGGGGGGGGGTTCGCCGAGCGAGTCAAACGGCGTGAAACCGACGACTTTGCTTTGCTGCATGTTATTCTCTGTTTACTCTCAATGACCTCATATTTGACACGTGCCTTGCTCTGTTTGCTGTTTCTCCAAGTTCCAGCCTTCTCCTTCCAGCTGACAGCTCCAGTCGGAGAGGGCCCTCTTAGGGGCAAATTGCGAACAATCCCTGACGTGTAACCCATTTGCTAGTGCGCGTGTTTGTTTGTCCATGTGTGATGTCAAGTCAATTCGGGCTTCCATGCTATTTAGGCTAGTATGCTAGCTGATACCATTGATAAGCCTCATGGGAAGGTGGTTTTTTTTTTTTTTTGTGCGTGTGTATGTGTGTGTGTGTGTGTGTGCTGAAGATTAGAACTATTGATGACAGTTGTTCATGGAACATGGGTTCATAATTCTGTACATCTAGATGCATACGTTCGATGCTTATTCTTTGCATGTGTTGTTACAGACCACAGGAAATACATCAGTCCAAACAGAATACCGGTCTCTGCCACCATCTTGTGGCATTGTAAGTCATTAAAAACCTTTTTTGTTTGGATTTGGGGATTTTTGCTGTCCCCATTAGGGTTCGTTCCCTCTCCCCCACACTTTGCGAAAGAGTGTGTCAAAGATTCTTTTGCCAAAATACCCCAGGGATCAAGAAGTACAGTGCACTTTTCACCCACTTCTTCCAAATGAGAATGTTTTGAGACTCACGCTGCTCACGGCTTTTGTTACATAACATGGGGCAGAGCTACTTGATCCTTGAGTCTGAAGTGCCCACGAGCCACCGAAAGGAAAATAAAAGTGTCGAGTGTATTTTCACTGTGACTGCGCTTCATCATTAAACCACCGGCGACCACTTGTCAATTAGTATGTGCAATGATTACTTGCAAAGTTGGAACCGTTTAAAAGAGTTCTCCGTCTCTGTAGAATGTCTGTGACATTCTTTTGTCTCAATACCACAGGGATCAAGATTTAGAGCAACTTGCCTGACCCTCTTTTTGTCAAGCCACTGCTGAACCAAACAATCAAGTATGCAGCGCTCAACTGTATCTGAAGACTGCTTAGCTTTTGGCTTTGAAATGGTATCCTAGCTTCAGACGAAACACAAAATATCGCATCACCATGCGCGTCTCGTGTGCTTTCTTTTGAGGAGGAGCTACACAAGTATTGCTACAAGCAGAAAAGAGGAGGGACTTCTACTTCTCCTCCGGCAGAAAAAAAAAAGTTTGAACATTGCTGGTCAAGCTGGTAGCTGGTGGTAGTGCGACATTGGCCGATAAACGCTGTCTTGATTCACAGTTCAACAGCTGTAAACCAGTCAATGTGCTCACCAGGTATGCCAGCGTCCTCACATCCCATTCTCCAAGCCTGCTCCCTTTTGGCTCTGTTCTGGCCACTATCGGAAGCTGACTGTGTTGTATAGCTCTTGGTGTCCACAGACCCAATGATTATATGGTCCCACATTGTTTATTTCACCATACTGTGTGTGTGTGTGTGTGTGTGCTGAGTATGAGTTCTGTTTTTGCAGTAGCTCCGTGTTTAAAATTGCTGCTCTTCACCCAGCCTAGCTACCAAATCATGGGTGGGAAAACTCGATGCACGGGAAGTATGATGTAGATTAGCTGCACTGTTATGTTACACAATGGCAAAATTCAGAACGACTTTCTCATACAAACATTTTTGGAAATAGGCAACTCCCAAAAGATTGACTTTACTGTGCAATTTCACACTCAATGTGTGGGAGGGCACACCAGAGATCCAACTATTTGTTACCAGCTATTAAAAAAACAAATTTCCATAGTATGCCCCCTTTAGCTTTTTATTGCCTGTTCTCATTTTCTTCTTAGCTCAATTGCAAACATATTATTTTTTTAAATATATGTACGTGTTTGTACAACCATGTCCATGCCACGAAAGTTAGCATTCTGAGAAATGAGACAAGCTTTAGGGATATTTCTATAAATTCATTTAATTCCTGCGAAAAAACAGTACTGCATACACAGGAACTGTATTCCTGACATGCAGCGGCTTAAAAAAAAAAAAAAAAAAAAAAGCAACAACAACAACAAAAACCAAATTCGTAGCGCCTCAAGCTCGCTCTTCTGCTTTATTTTCTTCTAGTTCTTTGACTCTCCCTCATTTGCTCCTTTTTCTCACTAGTTCCTTTCTTTCTCCATCACACCTCATTGCATTGAAATGCATTTGGGTCAGCAGCTCAGTGCACACACTGTGTAGAAAGTGTGAATGCGAATACGCGCTTT